CGAAGACGCTGGTCTCGGTCGACGCCTACGCTCAGCTGACGTTCGATGACGAGGAGGCCCAGGGGCGCGAGGAGGAGGACTACCGGCAGAAGGTCGGCTCGCTGCATTTCGCGGCGACGACGACGAGGCCCGACATCGCGTTCGCATGCAGCAAGCTGGGGAGCGGCCTCACGGTGAGGAGCGACCAGCATTGGCACGAGGTCGACCGTTGCCTCGCCTACCTCTCTGACACCCGTGACACCGCCCTGGAGTTCGGCGGTGGACCAGAGTCGCTGGATCTGATCGGCTACGTGGATGCCGACGACGCGGGCGACAAGCAGAACCGGACGAGCACGGGAGGCTACGTGATCGTCTACGGAGGGGGTGCCGTCTCCTGGTCGAGCTCGCGCATCAAGTGTGCGACATTGTCGTCGACCGTGTCGCAGTACGTAGCGGCCACGGATGCAGGAAGGAGGGACGCCAACTTCGTTTCCTTCTTGCGGAATTCAAGCTGCTTGATGCAGGAAATCCTACCATCCTCCGCGTCGACAACAAGTCGGCAATTACGGTCGCTGAAGGCTTGGGACTGACGGGCAACTACAAGCACATGGAGCGACGCTACGCCTGGCTGCAGCACATGGTGAGGTGCGGGAAGTTCGTGCTGAAGTACATCCCGACCACCGAGTAGCCACCGGACTTCCTGACGAAGACGCTGCATTTTCCGGCTTTCAATCGGTGCTCTGTCGCCATCGGCCAAGTTTGTCTGGTCGACGTCGGCGACGGCGACGACGAGGTGCGGCAGTAGGTGCCGTGCCCTTCTGCACGGCTGGTGCGGTGACGGCGTGCTGTGTGTGAGGTGCACGCCGAGGACGAGCTTTCTCCGTGGAGTACTGCCGTGTGGGCTGGAGGCCCAAGCGTGACCGCGGCAGGGGAGTGTTAACAGGAATGAAGTTTTGGCCCCGCCCTCGCTTGGGCAACGCCGACGACTTGGTCGGATGTACGGAAGTAGCAGCCGACCGTTCACAGTGGGAGAGCTGCTCAACAGGCTTCGTCAAGCTGCAGGGGACCGCTGTGGTGTTGCTGTCGACCAGGGAGCTCGACAGCTGCAACTGACTGGCCTGGGCAACGGGTGGGCCGTCGACCAGGAGGTGCAGTTCGACCTGGAGGTCGACGGAGCAGTCCGTCAACCTGACAAGTGAGCAGCGGTCGACGAGGGGAGCTCGGCAACAACCGCTAACAGTTCTGGTCGACGGAAGGGGTCCGTCGACCAAGGGGTAGCTCAACGGGAGTTGTGGTCGACCAGAGGCACCTGGTGGTCGACCAGAGGGACCCGGTGGTCGACCGGAGGCGTCTGGGGGTCGACCAGAGCACCTGGGGGTCGACCAGGTCGACCGAGTAACCTGCTCGACGAATTCTGCGGAGGCACGCGAACGTCGTCGAGGTCGCGATGGCGCAGGCAACTTCGGGCTGGTATCCCAAAGTCGATGTGGCTTGTCAGGTGCAGACAACAGCCGACGGATGCCCAACGAGGCAAGTCGGGCCAATCGTCTGCGCACACCTGCGAGCGTGCACACTGTTGTCTTCTACGGGGCAACGCTGGACAGCCGCTCTGTTGGCAGGTCGCCTTTCTGCAGTGCTGGCGCGGCTCCTCTACGCAACGCTGGCAGACGGTCGACAAAGATAGCTGCAGAGTTGCTAGGTGCCTGATGTAGTCATTGTTGTCATTGCTTGTTGAACTATTCTGTAATTCCAACTTTGCTAGTGAAACTCTTACCGATTTCTCCCGTGTATGTGCAAGCACTAAGGAATTAAGCAAAGCCACGATCACTCCTAGTAGTTTGTGCCAACCCCCGTAGTCTAGCTCACTACCTTTGTCGAGTGACTCTCCGCACCTTTAACCAGGCGGCGCCTCTGATTGAGAATGGCAAGATAGAAGAGCTCAAGGACCCACTTCTCGACGTGACGGGATCCTCCTTCGTCTCCCTAGTAAGGCCTACCATGCCATTCACTTATCGCTTTCCCATGGGGGAAGTGCTGACAATGCTGACGGATTGTTTTGGGCTCACGAACGTGGATGATGTTAATGGGGCAGAGGGGAGTGGCGGTTCGGAAAATGGAATTGGTGGTGGTAGTGATGATGGTGATGGTTATAGTCGGCTGGGTTGGGGTGTTTCGGTAAATAAGGGCGACGTCAGGTTGTGCAAGAATTGCATATATATAGATTCATTTACCATATAATGCAAGAGTAACCACGGTCTTTGTTGCCTTTTGAACGCGATCAGATTCGGGGCATGCAATTTGAAATGAATGGGTTTCGTGTCTATCCGTCTTGAGCACGAAATAATTACATGCGCCATTACGTAGAACAGTTATTCATTGCGTCCAGAGCGCGATTAGGTGGTACGAGCGAAAATCGTATCACGATATCGCATGCACATTACGACGTTCGCAACATGCATATTGGGTTTTCGATGCTAATCGCCAGAATTTTTAAACTCTAATAGTGAGCAAAACATTCGCGCTGAGAGTCGTCGAAAACTCTGTAGCAATGCTTACGTGTTCTGTAGTATTGGGTCACGCAAATCTTGGCACTGTTCCGGCGTCCCGCGCAGTGAATTTCGGACACGGGTGCCCACTAAGCGAAGACACCTCGTCAGTGAGTTTTTTTGTGCCGCGCAACGCAAATGAACTGCAAAAAAAATAAACGAGTTGTTCAACCCGGCGTCGCCCTGATTTTACGATATTTTTAGTCGTATGATATGTTGTACAATGCGTTTTAGTGTTGATTTTTAAAACATGTGTAACTGCGCTACTAATTGTCTAGTCAGCGTGTACATCCAGATGCAGCCTAGGAAGGAAGGGAAGAAATTCACCAGCGCATTTACGGTACCCATGAATTGAGAGTGCTCGTAGTATGCATGCATAGAGTACATTTCGATGTTCCTTTCGAAGTGTGGTCCTGACTAGTTCTACTCGCAACTCAAATCAATAAATATTATATAAAGGGCAGAAGAACTGCCCTTGTTTATGTAGATACTTTTGTATATTCTTATTTAACCATTTATCTTCATTCCATGTTTAAGGAGTCTGTGAAAAATGTATCAGTATGTTGTACAGCAGAATCAGTGAATTTGTAACAGCGATGGATTACTGTCTACACGGGTATCCCCGCTTGGTGCAGTCAACGAAGTCAGCGGCACAAGCCTCGCTGGCGAACCGCACGTGCCAGAATGACGGATGATTCGGAATGACGAAGACGCCGATTGGTTCACGAATCTGAAAAATCGAGGAAGGTCTATCTATCTATGTGTCTGGTTCGGGAATGCCCAACAAGAAAAGTTGAATAGCCAGTCTTTGCATAACATGCACACAACAATCAAAGAAACTCGGGGGAAGCGCACGGACAAATTGTTTTCAATTGACAAGCTTCTGGACTTGCAGTGCCTCTATTGGCCTAGGGAAACAGTTCCGTTGTTCAATAGCGAAGCAGATGCGGTGAAACCAGGAGGAACTGCTCTGTTCATACTCAACCAAAGTAGTACAGCGTAGAGCTTCACACTTACTGTGCTGTGAGCTTCCCTCCGAGCACTGACACGTCCGCTTTTCAGAAGCAGCTGACAATGCTCAACGAGGACCGTCTAGGTCCTACGAGCTTTTAGGAGCTCACGCACTAGTAACGTCGACGCACAAGCCTGATATTTAAGAATCCTGATATTTATATAAGTTTTATATATTTACTGAATCACGTATAAAAAGGGCCATCCTGCTGCTGAAAAACTATCCTTTCCGACGCGTCCGTCACCCTGTACTACATCGTATTGAATCACCCTAGAAAGAGTGTCGCTACGTGCTGCATAGTTTCCGAACGCCTCGTGTCGCGGCTCCCCGTGGCGCGGCGGCCTCGTTCCATTCGTTGCTCCGCGATGGCGGCGACGAATCGCGAATGGCCAACGATCATGGCAATGCTTCTTATGTGCAGTATGCTGACGTCATTGGGAGTGCTGAACTCTCTGGTGCAGGGACAGACGATTGACAGTAGCCAGTGTGAGTGTCACCTTCCGAGTCGGAAGGAGCTCCCAGTGACGAAAACACCGAGTCGCGCATGCGACAAGTGGAGGTTCCTTTGTTTCTGGAGCCAGAGTTATGTGATTCATCTTGATGCATCTTTAGTCATCTTGAGTCATATTAATTCATCTTGAATCGTCTTGCGTCTTAAATCTTCTTTAGTTATTACGAGTGAATGTGAGTCATTTTGAATCAACATGAGCCAATGAGTCATCGTGAGTAATCAGGAGCCATTATGAGTCATCATCATCTGTCATCTCGAGTCATCATCTGTCATCTTGACTCGTCATGAGTCATCACGAGTCCCTATGTGCCACTGACACGGCATGACCCACCCCAGTGTGTTTCCTGCATAGGTTCCGACACCATGCACTCCCCCCTCCTCTCCCACGTTTCCCTACAACGTCTTCCCCTTTTCTTCCCCTCAGAAAACTCCCAATATACCCCCTTCCCCCCCCTCCCCCCCCCCCCCCCCCCCCCCCCCCCCTCCTTTCCCACCCCAACCCTCCCCCCCCTCCCCCCCCTCCTCCCTTCGCTCTTGTCGTCCCCCTCCCCCCAACCTCCCCATCCCCGACTGCCCGTGTCACATGCTGACGTCAGTGCAAGCGTTGTGGGACATGCAGACGTCATGGGGGGTGACTTTCGACCAATGGGACACGAATGGAGACTGCAGCCTTGCCTACAATTTATCATGCAATGCTGAAGGCATGGTTACGTGGATGTACGTGGAGCTGACGTGGCGTGTTGTGAATTATGTGGCGTGAGATAAGGCGACTTTGGTCACTGCATGGTCGAGGCTGGTCTGTGGCATGTTGTATCGGGTCAGATGACATGGCATGAACTCGATGACGTGGCAGCCTACTGCTATGTCTCAGCACGTATTGTTCGCCTGTGTGTTGCTCCAGACTCAAAGCCTTTTGCCGGTTGAATGGGTACGTGCACGCACCTCAGCAAACATGCACGGATTCGTGAACTCATCCATCCTTACTGCCATCCTTACTACCATCCTTACTGCCATCCTTACTGCCATGCTTACTGCCATCCTTACTGCCATCCTTACTGCCATGCTTATCGCCATGCTTACTGCCATCCTTACTGCCATCCTTACTGCCATCCTTACTGCCATCCGTACTGCTATCCTTACTACTGCCGTCCCAACTGCCCTGTCTGCCAAATTTACCAGCACAACACAGGGCAGGAGGGCTTTTAAGACGTCTCAAAAGTCATTTCTTCCATTATTACCAGCACAACACAGGGCAGGAGGGACATGTCCTGCTTCTGGACCTCGGTCCAGCGGGTAAACCCTAAACCCGGGCTGAATGTGGGAGGACCCTTGCCCGCCACCCACCCACCAAGCACACTCCCCTTACCCCTTCCTACCCTTCCCAAGCCCTTCCCCTCCCTTCGCACGGCCCTTGCAATGCAGAGAGCTCATGGGGCTGAATGGGGGAGCACCCTTGCCCGCCACCATCAGCGGCCTGGTGGACCTCTCGCACCTGTCAGTGCCGCATTGCACTTGCTGCTTGATGCTTGCTGCTTGCTGCTTGCTGCTGCTGCTGCTGATGTGCTGCTGCTGCTGCTGCTGCTGCTGCTGCTGCTGCTGCTGCTGCTGCAACCCCCTCTTCATTCCATCTGTTATTGTAATTGGGCCCCTGACCAAGCAATCAAGCCACTTAGCGCCCCAGTTAGGCCACCGCTTGACACTATCTTAGTGGTCTCGCACAAGCTGGTTCTGATCTGATCCCTTCCTGTGCCTACTGAATGGCACGGATTGCCTGGTTGGAACTTGCTTGCTTGCTTTGATGGGCGATGGTGGTGGCAGGGCGTTGGATGATAACGGCATTACAGGCCCCGTCCCATCCACCATTGACCAATGCCCAGCCACCATTGACCTTTGCCTTCTTGCTCTTTGCTTTGATGGGCGATGGTGGTGGCAGGACGTTGGATGATAGCGGCATCACGGGCTCCATCCCATCCACCATTGGCCAGCTCACTGCCCTCACCTGGTTGTGAGTGCCCATTGTTTCTTTTGAGAATTCTAAAAAACCCTCACCTGGTTGTGAGCGCTGGTACCCAGCGGGAGAGTGTTCACTTTTGAGAATTCTTTAGAGTGGCTCACTGCCCTCACCTGGATGTGAGTGCTGACCCTCACTCTTGAGTTTGAGGACGAGTCGTCGTGACTGATTGCAGGTGATGCAATCAGCATCCTTGTTGTGACTGATGCTAGCAACAAGGTATTATTCGGTTTTGGCAGTGCGTGACGTTGAGATCTCTCAAAGATTGCTCGCTAACAAGGATGCTAAACCAATTAGCCAACGGAGATGAGAGTAGCTGAACTGAACCTGAGAGTGCAGGCATATTAGCTGTGCAGCGCAGCTTTTGGGTCGACTCAAATAACTTTTGTTCACAAGCTTGTTTATTGTCTTTTTTTTTCTCTCTCAGCTTTAGTCCCCACCCCTCCTCTGACACCTAATTGGTGTTCTGTTCCCCTTCCCATTCTCGAGTCCACCCATCAGCTCAATGCCTCCCAACAGCCAGTTTCTTTACTTCCTATAATTCTCGGCATAATTTCCATCTCCCTCCCCGCACATGCTTCATGCTCTATACCATTCCCCTTCCACCTCTCCACCCACCAGTTCAATGGCTCGCAACAGCCTCAGGGGCAGCTTCCCCAAGTCCTTCAGCAACCTGGTCAACCTGAGAAGCGTGTAAGTCAAGCCAAGTCAAGCCAAGTCAACGCAAGTCAGCTCAAGTCAAGCGTTCTCTTGCCTTTCCAGTCGGCTCTGGAAGGCCCCTCGTGACAATGGCATGCCAACCTCGTCAACCTGAGGGACGTGTGAGTCAAGTCAAGTCAACCTCACCTCTATCCTACCATCTGTTGCTTCCTCTCTCCTCCAGTATCTCCTCCCCTCTGTCCTTCCTCTCTCCTCCGTTTTATCCCCACCACGCTATCCTGTACTCTCCCCTACCGTCTCTCCTTCACTCTCTCCTCCCCACTCTCCTCCCGTCTCTCCTCACCTTTATCTCCACCCCGCTCTCATCTCATCTGCCCGAGGGGGGGCGTCGACAGGGGTGGTGGTGGGGGTGGTGGTGGGAGCGGTGGTGCTGTTGCTGGGAGTGATGCTTGTAGCGGTGTGCTTGTATCGGAGGATGGGCAAGGCGGGGGCAGCTGCAAATGAAGGTGAGGCAAAGAGGAAAGCGGGTCAGAGAGGGATGTGAGGGGCTACCATGAAACAGATAAGGTTAAAGAATCGACTCTCAACAACTACTGTTACACTTGTCCCCATCCCTTCCTCTCTCCCCTCCCCTCCTTTGCTCCCCCACCCAAGCATCAGCAGCAGAGGGCATGTCACGGAGCCTGCAGTGCCAGCGCTACCTCCTTGCCTGCAGTGCCTCCTTGCCTGCAGTGCCTCCTTGCCTGCAGTGCCTCCTTGCCTGCAGTGCCTCCTTGCCTGGAGTGCCTCCTTGCCTGCAGTGCCTCCTTGCCTGCAGTGCCTCCTTGCCTGCAGTGCCAGCGCTACCTCCTTGCCTGACGTTCTATAGGAATTTGGGGCGCTTCAAAATTCGTCTCATTTCTCCCCCCGTCCCCCCCCTCAGCAGCAGCAGCAGCGGGCATATCAGGGAACCAGCAGTGCCAGCTCTACCCCTTAGCTGATGTACAATCAATCTTCAGGCTTTCAACGATACCCTCCACCCTACCACACCCCACTTCCCCTCCCTAGCAGCAGCGGCAGCAGCAGGAGCAGCAGCAGTGGCGGGCATATCAGGGAACCAGCAGTGCCAGCGCTACCCCTTGGCGGACGTGCAGCGGGCGACCAACAATTGGGCGGAGGCCAACCGGATTGGCAGCGGCGGTTTTGGGGACGTGTTCAGGGGAGTGTCGCCTCACGACCCCTTGGTGCTGTGGGCTGTGAAGCGAGCCACCGTCATCACCAGTGACTTTCGTCGGGAGGTGCGTTTGGTGTGGTGCGGTGCTTTGCACTTTAATGCAGTGCAGTGCACTTTAATGCGGTGCAGTGCAGTTTAATGCGGGTGTAGTGCAGAGTACCACCAAGCTTGTGTGTCGCCTCACGACCCATCAGTGGTGTGGGCTGTGAATTGAGCCACCGTGATCACGAGTGATTTCCGCCAGGAGTTGTGCGGTGTGGTGTGGTCTGGTGGTGTTCTGTGGTGTGCTTTGGTGTGATTGTGGTGCGGTGTGGTGTGGTGCGGTGTGGTGTAGCACGTGGCTAGTGTGAATGTTATTCATGGATTGGTAGCTCTGGGTTTGGAGATGTGGCATTGAAACACCACCCCAACCTCGGTCACTCTTCTTCCCCACCACTTGTTAGTGTTAGCCCTCAATCCAACCTTTTTGTACTTGTACTTTTTATATCTTAGTTTTGTGTAGTTTGCACATTGTGTTTGGTTGGGTGTACACCTACATCCCAACCAAACCTAAATGTGATCTCCAAGCAATCTCCAACCCACCAATTGGAGACTGCCTTGGGATTACCCTCAATCCCTAGAGAGTGGCCCCGATTCCCTCCCCATCCATACCTTGCTTATTCTAGATGTACTTAAAGAGCATCAAGCTCATTACTAATGCATCTATTCTAAGCTCCATTTCTCACACCACTCCCCTCACCTCTCCCCCGCAATCCAACCCCCTCTCCCTTAGCCACCCCTTTCCTCTTTGCTCCTCCCCTTTCCACCACCTTATCTCAACAAAATGGCATCAAAAGCACCAACCAACTTCGTTCGCTCCCACCTCCCCCGCCTTCCCTTTTCCCTCCCGTCTCCCCCCCCGTTCCACCCATACACATGGCAGATCAATGAGATGGCATCGAAGCATCACCCCAACCTCGTGCGACTGCTGGGCTATTGCATTGACGTGGACAAGGCAGCTGAGAGCATGGAGCAGATTCTCATCTATGAGTTCATGGATAATGGGGACCTTGAGAGGTGGATTGGACCAGGTGGGTGGGGTCGTGCCTTGCCTTCCTGTCGGCTGTGAATATATGCTTCTTGAGAGGTATGCTTGTTCGCCTTGCCTTGTTTCTTGTGCGGACTGTGACCAGTCGTGCGGAGCAGGTTCTCTTTCTGTAACCCATCCATTGTCTTCTGTATATGCTTACACCCATGAATTTTTGCCTTCCCTCCCACCACAGACTTCAGGTGTCCAAAAGCCGCTGACCCTGCGGCAGCACTTGACGTGCTCTCATCAGCGTGGCTGGCATGCCCTACCTCCACAACTTTCAAATGCATTCATATGCTCTCACTTTAGTATCTGCCTTGTCCCACAACGCTCAAAGTTTGACCTCCCCACCACCACAACCGCCACCAGGTGTTGAAAAGCCTCTGAGCCTGCGACAGCGCTTGGACGTGCTCATTGGAGTGGCTCAAGGCCTGCAGTACCTCCACAGCTTTAATATTGTGCATCGCGACATCAAACCCGCGAACATCCTTCTTGACAAGAAAATGCAGGTGAAGTATTTGTGTTCATTGTTATTTGGAGATCCTTCTGGTGTCACGTTGCTAGCCTTTTGTCTCCCTTCTCCCCTTTCCTCAGGCAAAGATAACCGAATTTGGGCTGGCAAGAATGGGCTGAAGTGGGTAAGACACGAGTGATAAAACGGTGCTACGTGGACGTTTAAGTTCACTCGCAAGCCTCCTCTCTGTACCCATCTCCTCCCCCTCTTCCCTTTCCTCAGGCCAAAATTGCTGACTTTGGGCTGGTGAGGATGGGCGAAGGAACTACAGTGGGTCAGACGCGAGTGATGGGAACACCAGGCTATGTGGATCCTGCTTACTTCAAGTCACAAAAGGCCATTCCAGCAGCAGACGTGCACAGGTGAGTAGACACGCAGGTGTGCACAGGTATAGAGCATTGCAGAGAGTCAACCTACTTTGCGCGTAGACTAACAGGCTGTACAAAGTTGATTGTGGTGCTACGTATGCCCATACGTGCTTGTTTTGCTCGTATGAAGAATTGACATGAGTTTCACTCCCAAAATATAATCCACAAGAACTCAATGCAAGGAAATGGCAATGTATACTACGGAAGGAATGCAACACACCTGACAGCATTGTTGTCACTTTGCAGCAAAGCAACTTGCCAATGCAGTAGCAAAGCGACTAGCCAAAGCAGCATCAAGGCGGCTTGCCAGCGTTGCAGCCAGGGGTCTTCCCAACACTGCAGCAAGGCGGCTTGCCAACACTGCACTAGTAGGTGAACTCTGCGCATGTGCGTTACCTACTAAAGTAGGTGGAGGTGTGCTGGACAGACAGTTACGTGCACGTCATGCATGATAAGCACATTGCGTATGTGCCAAGTTGTAGAGCAAGCGATGCCGTTTCCACATGTCTACTTATGTCAAAACCGCCTGGGGAGAAATTCGCACACATGCAGAGTTTTGTCGACCAGTAATTTGGCTGACCAGAAAGCTGCTGCTTGGTCGGCATTGTCGGCGTCATAAAATATGATGGTCGCACTACGTCGGTGACTACTTTCGTCGACCAACGACACTCGGCACCGTCATCAACTTGTCGTTCAGCTCCTTGTCAGCTTTCGCTATCGTCTCCTCGAAAGTCCGCTATTTTCGCCAACCTTCGATAACTTCACCCCGAAATCACTGTCGACCATGAGCCAGCACTACACATTTGCGCCCCAGACAGCGAGGACGACTTCGTCCAAGCGAGGGCGAAGCTTTTCTTGTCAACAAGCATAAGTGGGTAGAAATATTGCTAGCTTCGTGTAATACTTCCATGCTCAAGTCACAAAGGGCTAACTCCAGCAGATGTGCACGGGGGGTTAAAGGCAAAATTGTGCTCAAGGAGAGAACGGTACATGGCAGTACTAACTGATACCTGTATACAGCTGGGGGTGGTAAGCACATGCGGGGGTCACCATTTCCCACCTATGTGTGTCTGTGCAATCAATCAACTGATGCCAATTAGAACATCTTGATAATAATGAACCACTTGCAAGCATGTTTTCTGTGTGCAACCATGCAACCAACACCATCTAAGAATTGCAATTAACTCCAGCATGCACCAATCCAATGCATGCATCGAGATTACAATCCCACGCCTCTTTCGCCCGTGTTCTTAACAGCTTTGGAGTGGTGATGCTGACAGTTATCACTGCCCGTAAGGCTCTTGATTCCTTGGACGACAACCAAGTCAACCTCAAGAAATGGGTGAGTTTGGTACTTGATTGAGAGAGGGCGTTGTTAGTTGTTGTTATTGCTGATGTTGTTGTTGTTGTTGTTGTTGTTGTTGTTGTTGTTGTTGTTGTTGTTGTTGTTGTTGTTGTTGTTGTTGTTGTTGTTGTTGTTGTTGTTGTTGTTGTTGATGATGCTGTTATTGCTGGTGCAGCTGCCTACGCTGCCAATGCCGCGGCTACTATTGTTATTGCTATTGCTGTGGTTGTGGCTATCGCCGTCATCGTCGTCATTGGTACCATGTGTAATATCATGTTAATAATGTTGTTCTAACAAATCTTCATATGCGTTTTTAAGTCGCGCAACCTTGTGTGCCTCTTGCACTCTTATATCACTTGTGACATTCCACCCATGCCCTTTCCCCTATCTTAAGTGCAACCCTTTGTGAAGGCCGAGGATGCCGACGCCATCAAGGACCCGCGTCTAAACGCCCCCAGCGGCGTGGACCTCACATGCAACTTGTGCTACTTGCACCTCTCCAACTGTACACCGCCCCACCCCCTCGTCCCAACCTCCTCCAGGTGCAACCCCTATTAGAAGCTGGAAATGCCGATGCCATCAAGGACCCACGTCTAGACGCCCCCAGCGACGTGGTGCTCAAGCTCGCCCGTTTCGCCCTCTCCTGCATCGCCACGCCCGTGGCCACCCGCCCCTCCATGCCGCGCATTCTCTCCGACCTCATCACCATGAAAGAAGAATTTCTTGGTGCTGACGTGGATCCTGTGCTAGTGGATATCGACATTGACTTAGCGGACCGCAAGGGCCCGACCTTCTCGCAAGAGATTCGGCGGGCGAATGAGGTGGCTTCGAAGTGTGAAGCGCCGTCGGGGTTGAGCATTGGGATGGTGTCAATCAGGGAAACGGATTTTCCAGATAGCCATGTATGATTGTCCGTGTGGTGTGGAAGATACATTGAGAGGAGGTTCGAGCTCCTCTTGAATGATGCCACGGGTGGCTTCATCATGTAGAGAAGCATGGGGTTTGGCGTAGGGATGGGGTCGATTGAGGAATCAGGGTGTTCAGGTGAATTCAATGGCGTCTTACAAGTAAGATCGTAACGGGGTTTGGGTCTGATGGAAGACATACACAAAATCAAGTAATTGATTGTATCAGGACTGGTCATTGGCTCTTCTGTTAAAATATATTGTTAAACTTTTCTGTTGTCCACTAGCAGAATAAGTAATTTTGCGAGTAATGGATCGCTGTGTATACGAGCTTTCGCTCTTGCTGCAGTCAACGGAGTCCGCGACACAAGCCCCGCTGGCAAATCGCACGTCCCGAATGACGGTGGTAGCAGGCTGGCGAAGGAGGCTATTGGCTTACGATTCTGAAGGAATATGAATGCGATTTTATAGGCTTTACGACGATTCTAAAATCGTGGAAGGTCCAGCTGTGTGCCTAGTTCAGGGATGTCCACATCCAATACCCCCAGAAAAAAACTGAATTCCCA